TCGCAATGCTGTTGTAAAAGTGATAAATCTAAACTTTCGATCGATATTGGTGTTTCACTTGTGAGGAAAGAAAGGATTTCGTTAGGGAAATGCTTGCTGTGTCTAAGACATTTTTTCCTACTTCGTGCGAAACTGTAATGGTACATTTGGTTTTGTGGAGCTCAACCTCAAGAAATCGAACCTTCTTCTTAATCTCGTTCATTTCTTGGGAAGAGACTATAAGAAAAATTTTTTTCAAAAAATAAAGAAGATTGGCGCCTATCAAGGTTAGCGCATCACGTTCGAGTTGACCAATCATTACGACGCAAAGGCTTACCTGGATGTTCATCTAAATTGGTTAGGAGACCAGAAAAGGCAAAGTCAGTTACTGAATAAGACACCGTGACAGTAAGTTACCAATTTTGGCGCAAGGCTTACCTCTTGACTTGTCGACATATCCCCTCAAGAATTCAACTTTCGCTTCATCTTTTGTAATCGTCGAAAGAATTGCTTCTACTTTAGTTGCGTCGTTGTAAGCAAAAAAAATGCGTAGCTTGGTTCTTTCTTCTTCATTATTGAAAGGAAGTTCGTTAATATTCGTAAAGATAGAACTTGCTTTATACATTTTTTTTTATTTTATTATTTAAGAAATAAATGTTGAAAAAAAAGGAAACGATGAGTCTTTTAAAAGAAAAAAATGATTTTCTAGAGATTTATGTATAGTTTAAAATTAAGCTATATGAACGCGTTTTAAATCTGATTAAACTATTATGAGAACGTGATTTATAAATCCAAAGTATTAGGTTATTTATATTGATTGATTATAAAATTCGAGTCATCTTAAATATTTATTATATATCGGATTCATCCGTGCGAAACTTTATTAATTTTTTTTAGAGAGAAATGCTATGAAAAATACGATGCTATCAAAGAGGGAGGGAGTACGCGGATCCTAGGCCATTTAATACGAGTCCCAGCATCAAATTATTTCTTTGCTCCCTCAGATTTCAGATAAATTTCTATAGCTAATTTGTTTTTATTGCTAATATTTCTAACTACAAGATTCTCATCCCTATACTCTTTTTCTACACTAGATTTTCGAAATAAATTATCCCACCCATATTTACAGAATTTTTGTCTATTTATATCTCTCCCAAATACACAAATTATGTAAAATAATATTCCTCGCAATGAAACTTCTCCGAAATTAAGTAATTTCGAATCTACGGCATAAATTCGTGAGATTAGCAACTGAGGTAAAAAATATTTCCGATTCACACTTACCATTACTATTAATTTTCGCAACGTTCCATTCCGCCTGAAATTTATTACTTAATGCATTACAATAAAGTTAATTCGATTTTTTTATTGCCCGTACGATACTGCGCCAAATATCAAGAATTTGGCACGTGAAGATGTTTATTATTGAAAATTTATTAGACACACTGCACCAAATTTTATTGAGGAGCGTGATGTTAAGTTATACGCGTGGTGATTGTCAAAGATTTTCTTGGCGAAGATCAAAATGCCGATATATAACAAGAAGAGTAATATGTCCGTTTTATTTTGGAACATCTAATCGAAGCAGAAATCGATTAGCATCATGATGACATGTTTCAAGAAGCTAGTCGAGCAATAAAATCAACATACCTTATTATTGCTTTGCGAAATATACTCGTTTGATTGATTGATGATATTGTCGATGTTAATAATGGTAGGTTTAAAATTTTATTAGATTTTTCGTTTGATTTTTTGTTTATATTTGCACAAGGCGGATAAAATGGTTCACTAACCGTCTCAACTTCTTTTTATATGATTTGTAATGGGTTTAAGGTTCGATTTTCAGAATAAATCTTTGGGGAAATTACGTTATTATGATTCATCACAAAAATCAGATCAACGGATGCTCCCTAAAATTATAATAGACATAGGGGATCATGTCCCTGGATCAACAAGGGACTTTTTATTATTAATACATGCAAAAACTTGAGTATATGCAGGAAGTTTCAAGAATAAATTATATAGTGTAATGTCCTAATGATACTATGCATTTATAGGATCTGGATCCTCAGATGAAAAACTGAGAAATATTAGCATATAAGCACAATCCCACACTAGATATTGACATGTAAATATATTGTGCTTAATGTGCCTTAGCTTTATTGATTGTAATTAAAAAAATACGTATTTTGTTCATACTGCGGAATAATATTGATTTGCCATCACGTGGCGCTGATCGTGAACTTGAATTTATTGCTTGAAGAGTTACATCTAAAACAATATCCTAACTAATCTTGAGATAATAACTTTGCTAATTTAGGATCATATAGAAGCTGATTCCCATTTCTACAGTACTATGAGCCATGTAATCTATAATTCCCATATTTTCCATCACAAATAGGACACAGCAAGTTTCACGACTGAGCAAATACAAAATTATAATTATTAATTCTCTGAAACTATTTCAGAATTTCAAGTATGTGAAATGCTCTAACACAGATTTGATAATTAATTCTGGATCAGGAGTGGCTTTGAAAATGATAGGTCCTTTTTCTTCATATTATTCGAAAAAGATAAATAGGATACTTTGCTTTCTGACTTTGAATTTATGAGAAGGCGGGCTTTTGATAATTACTATAATTCATGACCAGTTTTTTCTTATATCTTTTATATATCTTTTCTGTCAAAATATTTGGTAAACCAGTTAATTTAACATACCAATCCAGATATTTAGAGGTTAATATTTTATAGGATTTGGCCTGAATATCAAAACTTTTGATACTAGATAAATAATCTCCTTAATTTTTTATTCTTTTAGGGATAACAATTTCCAGTTTTTCATTATACCATACTTTAAGAAGAAAAATTCCATTATTTTGATAAATACATCATTTTTGCTGATCATGATTAATGATATCCTTGAATTTTTGATATCTTATACCAACTAGTACTATAAAACTGATGCTGAGCTCCTTGCACCTTCAATGTAATTTGGCATTTTTAAAAGAAGGTATCAAGTTCTAATCCATTCAAGAAAGGAGGGTGATATTTGATAATAAGTTTCTTATTAAAAATTTCTTTAGCTATCTGGATATATCTATTCTGGAATTTGTAATTTTTCTTAGATTTTCTTTTTGACTGATTCTGTTCTAGTTTTAAGATTCTAGTCTCAAGCTCTTTAAGTTTAATATCATGTCTATTATTCTCTTTCATCATCTGCTTTATAGGTTCTGCATTTCTGAGCTCAAGTTCAATATTATATTGTCTCATTAAATTTATTTCAGATTGTATATCTGCGAATTATAAAATATTATTTATGCTCTATAAATTAGTAAATATTCAAAATTGATAAAAATATGTAGGTTATTTTGGTTAATTATTAACTTAACGGTTTTTGCCAAGAAAATTTTTTATTAATACATGCAAAAAAAATCTAATTAATGATCATTACTCTGGATTAGTTAGATTAGTAAAGTACTAGCATTCTACTTAATTGGCCAGTATTTTATTACCAGCTCTCGACATTAAGGTGAAAATAATACTTTGAGTCAGAGACTGACTAGCTATAGATGTATTAAAATCAGATTACTTAATACTTGAGATAGAACTAAATTTTGATTATTAACATAGAAAATCACTAAATGTGTTAATAAAATCAGAAGGTGTTAAAGTTTCTACAAAATTCTCAACATAAATATTTGGATTAAGTAAAATGAGTTGATATACAGCTTCTTTATTAATTATATATACTTTTTTAAATTAAGATACTTTAAATTAAGATATGAATCAATAATTTCTTTGATAGTTATATCAGTAATTTTATAAAAGCTAAGGCTGAGATGCTAAAGTTTTGAGCAAGAATGAATAATATTAAAAATAGGTAGTTCACGAATATCTGTGTGATGAGAAATATTTAGATATTCTAATTTATAGCATGATAAGATAATTACATATAGACCTTCATCAGTTATTATGCCTATATTATAAAATATACACTACCTGAAAATAAGTTTGCACAGTCAGTTTTTTGAAATTTATTTGAAATTGTATATAATAAATTAATTGATTTTGGTACCAATTAAAAGCCCTGATTCTTATTATATAATTGTTTGTTATTATAACACTTACAAAATAAAAATAATTATAAACATAAATAAATATAATGTAATAATAATTAATTTAATAACTTATTTCTAACAAAATGGGTAAAAATCCTAAATTTACCATTATTGAACGAGCACAAAGAATTGGACTATATAAAAGTGATTACAGAAAGTTCAATATTATTAGAATTATAAATCAATCAGAATCCACAGTTAGAACAATAATTCAACGATATGGAGATTCAGATGAAATGTTAAACAAAAAAAGAAGTGATCAACCTTCGTTACTTAATGATAAAAATCGCAAAATTTTAAAAAAAATTGTTAAAAAAAATAATAAAGCTTCAGCTGATATAATACAAAAGAAA